GCTTTACAGTTTAATCTTACCTCATTAGTAGATATGCCAGGGCTCTTTCACTTCGGGTTGTCTACAACAAATCAGCCTGAGAGGTTTAAAAATTGTAGTGAAAAAGGTTAAAATAGGCAATATTATAAATTGCTAAGGAAAAGGCAGCCTTTTTCTTGGGAAATATTGAATATGTGCATATATACTATTGATGTCAGCATTTATAACATTATATGACTGAAAAAGTGTCTGTACTTTAATGCTTACTGATAGTGCTTCTTCTAGTCTGGTTGGGCTTGAAGGAACTAGGGTTTGCAGCTGCCATACCTGCACATCTAAGAGGAGGGTGGCTTTTAGTGGGGAGAGGAAAATAAGCTCAATACTGTTGGTGTAGTCTTGCCCTAGATGCAGGAAATAAATGGAATTATGGCTAATCTTTATTACTTTTAGAAAATGCTGTCTCTTAAGACTGGCTGCAATATCTAAAGCTTTTGGTACTGGAGTTAAGCTAAGCCTCGGTGTGTTTTGGGAGCAAGTTGCCAGCAGCTCCCTTCTAACAGTTCAGTGCAGGCCTGAGACTTCTTTGGAGAAAGAGGAATGCAGATGTTCTGTGATACCATGTTAGGTATATTCAGCTGCCTTCTCAGACAAGGCTGATGAGTGGGCTTATGTAGTATTTGCTTTATTCGTTTTAGAACCATACAGTCAGTGAACTCATAGTATGGCATGATTTCATATCAGTTTCTCCCTTAACTTCCAGGTGGCACCTACTGAGCTGGACTGCTAAGTGGGCATTATTATTTGCTTAGATTGTTATTGTCTATAGGAAAATAGTTGGCAAATCTTTTTAGCCTTTATTAAATTTCACTTTAAAGCCATAATGTCATCACTTTTTAACTAGGTACAAACAGCAGCTATACAGTTACCATGCAAATTGTATATGATGGTGTGGAGTTTGTGTGGGGTGCATAAGAGGTTTGTTGTTGGAGTTTACATTGCACTGTTATAGGATAATAAAATGCATGTTATATGGTGTGTAATATGGTGGTATGAGGCAAAGATGTCTGTAACTGTAACCCCTCATCCTTAGTTCACAGTTTAAGCAGTGACTAAACCAGCTTTTTTCCCTTCTGTTGTTATAAATTCCTTTTGTGAAGGATCCATTCTTGTTACTTTAGTGCAACAGCTCAGAAAGTGCTGTTTGTGAGCATCAGTAACAAACATAACCACAGTTAACATTGTACTTTCTTTTTTCTCCAAGAAAAGACCTAGGTATCAGAGTTGGCATTCACGATTGATTTTTAATTGTAAAGTCAGTTTTCATATATCTTTTTTTTTTTTTCCCCTAAATTTAACTCAATTTTATTGCTTGCTTTCTTCTCTTTTATTGCAGGTGGAATTGGGTATTCCCTGAAAAGATCACAAATTTGAACACAAAACCTGCCCACCTAGGGTACTGAGAATTAGCAAGAAACAAGGACTCTTAGGTGAGTATTTCCTGCAGACTTTCCTGTCTGTGCTTGGGAGCAGCACAGCTTGTTCAAAGCCATATGGTAGGGCTGTAGAAAGATGGGGTCTGTATTGCTTTTCAGCTGATGCAGTGCAGAAGTGTAAATAAGTACGTTTGTGGTTGGTTTTTTCCTTTGTCTTTTTCTCTGACTTCACCTCCTAGTCTTTGGGATGGAGTAAAAAGGAATGTGGGGGTGGCTGACTCCCTTTTTCCTCATGCACAGTATTGGTGCTGATATGGAAACACAGAAGATAAGGGAACAGCCTGAGCTGTTAACTTCTCTTAGCCTACAGCTTCTGGGTTAACTGTGCTGCCTAGCTGATGGAGCTGATGCACCAGGGCATAGTGACAAGCTTTCTTAGCCTGGGACTTCCCACAGTTTGAAATGTTCCTTCTTTTTTTCCCCTGTCTGGGTCTTGGGATCGTCAGAGTTTGCAGGCGGACAATGGTTTGTTCGTTTGTTCTTTTGAAAACCATTGAGTGCTTAGATTCTGTGGCACTAAGCAGACTAGAAGTATGTGGAAAATACATGTAGTTTGTGACTGAAAATTCACCAAGCTCTGTGTGTCTACCATATTGGTGGTTTCTCTTGCTCCAGAAGCAAACAGTTCATAAACAATCCACATGGTTTTCTTTTTGTGCAGGTAGGTCAGCTTGGAGGGAGTTGCTGCTGGTTACAAGGACAGTTTCAGGCACACACAAAACCAGATATGCCTTTGTGGTCTCGGTGGTGTAAGCCATGAAGTTGTGTTGCAGATGTGGTGTGTGTTCAGTTCCACTTTCATTTTGAAGGGTAAGTGGCTGAGAACCTCATGCAATGTATCAGTGATGTCCAGATTGGAGAAAATAGTCCAGCTGCACAGAGTTTGATATCCTGCAGCTGCTGTTCCAGGGCGTGGGTTTTATGCCAACACAGACAGCCCAGCTAGCTTGCCCAGGTGCCACTGGCAGCTGTCAGGCCAGCTGAGACCTTACAAACTTTCACACAGATTACAAACAAGTTCTCATGAAGGCATAATTCAACTCCAAGAGTTGCACTTGGGTCTCCATGGGGAACATCTGGTTACATTTTTCTGCAGAGAGCAACCCAGTGCTCCAGAAGAAAGCCCTGAGCACTTGCCCTTTTTAGTTTCCAGGATGCAGACCTGCCTAAATTTCTGGTTGGCAGCACTGAACACAGTCCTGCTTTGGGGTTTCTCGAATAATCAAAGTGAAGCTTTTTGTTCCTGACTTCCTTCTGAAAGAAGAGAGCTGGAGTGAGGAAAGCCTGTCTACATCCATACACATCAAAATCAATAGAGAGGCTTTCATGTTTGCCTCAAAAGGCTCCTGTACCTTCGAGAAAAACCCTCAGCCAGGTCAATTAGAGGAGGTCCCTGTGAAGCTCCAGAGCTATGGGCTGAATCATGGCTCTCTGTGTCTGACAGAAAGAGTGTTTGAGAGCATCTCCTGGAGGAATTCCTTCTTAGAAGTGCTTACCTCGTACCTGAATCCCTGCATGACCTGCTGCAGCCGGCAGATGCACCTGACAGGCTGCTACTGTGCCAGCTCAGCCTGCCTTGCTCTTCCCAGGAGATGCAAGGTCTAAATAGCCACTTCTTTCACTGTGCTTGTCCTTGTACCACCGTGTGAGACTGGCTTTTAAAGTAGAATAAAAGGTTTTCACATGTTTGAGGCTGAGTTTTTGGAGGTATTCAGACAGACAAAGCTTACAAGTAAGGTGAAAGTTGGTTTGGAACAGTGCTTATGCTTAGCCCTGCTGGTTGATTTAGAAGCATATTTATATGTCCTTCAAAGTGCAGATTAGCCAGAGTGCTGGCAACTTTTCATTAGCATCTCTCCCTCTGATAGTGGCTTGTCTACAGTGAAAGCAAGTCTCCACATGCATGAAGTCAGTGGTGAAAAGCTGGAGCTTCTAAACCTAACCTAATGCTGTACTGGGACAGATTCTTTGTGTCCTGGAAGCGGCTATCCTCCCCATAAATCATAAATGGACACTAGTGACTAGAGTGGGAGAGAGCTCTGCATGTGACCCAATGAATCCCATCTGCACAGGGATTCATTGAGGTGGGAAGAAACAACATTTTTCAGATTGTTCCTATATTCTGAAGTTTTCGACAAGTGGATTTCCTCTCCTTTTGCAATACTAAAAGGAGGGAGGTGACAGTGGCCATAAGTGATGCCATGTGAGGAATATTTAAAGGAAAGGCTTCTCTGGAAAGTTATAAAAAAGAAAAACAACCTTTAAACAGGACTAGTCAATGTTGTCAAGAGACATGTTATCAACAAAACGTTGAGGAGAATGGGGGAGCCCTGTGTGGCTCCATGTTACATCACAAAACAAACACAGAGCCTTGTAATAAACAACTGACAGAGCTGAGATGGGAGCAAACTAGGACAGGGATCCTGGGGTCTTCTCTGTGCCACTTCCTTCTCCCAGAGGCAGCAGTTGCTTTAGTTGATTAAAATAAGAAAACTTATACCTAAAGCTTAATCAGACATTCTCTCTTTAATTTGAAAAAATGGAAAAGCCAAGGAGCAACTTTACTGCCAACGCAGGCACTTTAGTTAGACTTACCTGCTTCTCTCTGTCCATTCTGAAAGTGTTGGAAGTACAAGATGAGAAACATCCTCAGCCTTGAACTGCATTGTCCACAATATCCATGTTTTTTTCCTTCTCCTCTGCGCTTCAGGCTGTTTATTAATGCTGGAGGCTTTCTAAATGGCTCAGGGGAGGGTGAGGATAATGTGGTGAAGCTTCTTATCCTGATCCAAGAATGGGGTTGGTCACTTCTGTCCCCAGCCCACCCCTTTACCTTTCCTGCTGTCAGATTGCTCATTCTGAAAACTAAATTGGTTTGGGTTGAAAAATAGGTCCATTTATTGTTTTAAAAGAGTTATAACTTTCCAGTCAAGTTTTTTGTTATGTGTTTAAATTTCTGAACATTGTATTTAAGTGTGAAGTTTACTTTTTCAGGTGTACTACTTATTTAAAATTGCTTTGAGGCATTACTGCCAGCATTTGGTCATGATAAAATAGCTGCAGAAGGAATTATTTTACAAATTTGAAGTGCTGTTCATATTACCTGAGTGAAAGTGTTTCTTATTTTGTGCCTGATTTTTCATTCTTTATGATGGCTCTCCTGGCACTTGAAGCGTTAGTCAGTCCTGCTGGGTTTTAATTGAATCCAGAATTACCCAAAGCTCAGCTTGCTTTCACAAAAAGTATTTTGAAATATGTTTCAGTCTGGATTTCCTGACTCCAGCTACTGCAGCACATGTTTTGTGCAGAGATGTGCTTTCTTTTGGTGTGCATAAAACTGTCTCATATTCTGAAAAGAATTACTCTGCAAAATGCAAGTCTCTAGTACAGAATGGTGGTAATGACAGAGATATCTATCAGGATAATTTCATGATGCTCAGTGTTGCTTTGCAGTTTTTGTTAATCTGTGAGGGAAATCACTCCTCTTTTATTTTCCTTCTGTAGTGGCATATTGAGCCCATTTGTCAGCATAGAGAAATTTAGGTTGGAAGGGACCCCTGGTGGTCATCTGGTCCAACCTCCTGCTCAAACCATGTTAGACTAGATCAGGTAAATTTTTCCTTTTATCTAATATGAATTTCCCGTTGCCCAATTTTTGTCCATTCCTTCTTGTCCTCTTACTGTGCACTTCTGAGAAGAGCCTGGCAGCATCTCTGAATCCTCTGAGTGAAGCCAGCGCTGAGGTCTCCCTGCAGCTGTCCCTTCTCCAGGCTGAACAAACCCTTAGGCTCTCCTGCCTCCTGTGCTTCAGCTCCCCAAACATCTTGGTTGCCTTTCACTGAGCCCCTGAGTCTGTCTGTAATTAGGGGAAGGAGTGGGAGGGGATGGGATAGCCTTGTCTGATGAGGCAGTGATCCAATAGATGAGAAAGAACAAAAACCAAAAGCTGTGCTAGGTGTGGTCTCCATTAACGCATTTCATATCCACAGGTCGGTATTTGCTGAGGTGCACAATGTCTGCCCTGAGGCTGATCTCTAACAGAACCTCCCAGCAGGCCTTGTCTAACTCTGATTACACCTGGGACTACGAGTACTATGAGTATGGACCAGTGTCGTTCGAAGGTCTGAAGGCTCATAAGTGTAAGTTCAGCAGAGACACGCTTCGTGCAGCTCAGCTTCCTGCCTTCGTGTTCCTATTCTTCACTTGTGACTCAGTGTTGTACAAAAACATTTCTCCCCTAATTCCTAAGATAGCCAGGAGATACTTGTGACTGGCAGAGATAAGAACAAAATCACTTTTTGTGCTTTTGAAAATGAGGAAGCCTCAGTAATGTTAGTGAGAGGCAATTTAGGTAGCAATGATCTGAGGACTTGGAACTGCTTCCAGGATGTAATGAGTCTGTATTATGAAGAAAAGGAAGACCAAAACTGCAACTTGAAAATGTACAAGTATCCTATGAATATGTATTTGTAACTTTGGGCAGTATAAAAGTCCTTCATACCATATTTGTTGAACAAAAGTTGGATTATGTATGGTGAATTTTGAATAAGTGTTTAGAATTTAGTAGGTTTGAATAATTTCCACTGAAGTGAGTGAGACCTAAATCAACCATTGAAGAGAGCTCAGGATACCTGCTTGAATTTTAAACAAATTCAAACAATGCAATTTATACATCAGAGGGTTGGAAGTGTTTCAGGAGGCACAATAAAGCAAGGAAGATGTAGCATTAGGCTCAGTAAACTTAAGAATTCTGTTGGGAGCAGGGATGCCAAACCAACCACAAAACAGGCTTGTTATTCAGCACACATAGCAGGTGTGATTTTTGTGGGGAACAGTACTTTATTGGAGCCTTGATTTTCTTTTTTTTTTATTTTTTCCTTTTAGTTAAGTTTTTCAGCTTGATTGCTATAATCTATGTGCATATTTTTTGGTCATCTTGATTGCATTTTACATTCTGGGAATTAATGCAGCTGCATACCATCCGAGCATGTGTGACTAACTGGAAGGTACTAGTAGCTATAAATGTTTAAGTGGTAAATTTTTTTAAAGGGAGTATTGATTTTTAGATTAAATCTTCAGGTACTACCACGTCCAGCAGGATGAGCCATTTTGTATTAGGAAGGTAAGGTATATATTTAACCAATGAATACAGATTGTGCTTACAGAATGATTCTGAAAGTAATTTAGTGCACATAATATGTGGAATTACAGAAAAATGCTCCTGGCAGAATGCTTTAAACAGAAAAGGGTATTAAAATCTCCTTCCCCTCCATCACAGAGACCTATATTCAAACCAATTACTTTACACAAGGTATTGAGAGGGGAAGATAAGGCATAGGAGAGATGCAATAAATATTGCAGTGGGAGACTTGAAACTTAACCTCCTTAGCTTACCTAAGAACGGGGTTAAGGAGAGACTTCATTGTGATAAAGTATTTTCTCAGGGAGAAAATCTCAAGTTGCAGCAGGCATTTTGACTTTGCAGGGAAAGAGAGAATGGTTTGAGTTGATTTCCAGTTTCCACATTTGCCTTTTAGCGTGGCAGATATTTCACAGTGAGAGTGTGATTAACAGCTGGGGTCAAGCACCAGGTAGGATAGCTGATTCCTGTTTTTTAGAGTGTCTTTAGTTAGTCCTGTAGGAAATGCAACAGTTCTGTGCTGTGCCTGCTGCACTGGGTCAGACATTACAGGCAGTGAGGATCTCTGAGGCTTGGTAGTGGCTGTGTAATGAGAAGTAAGGGTAGAAAGGATTCCTGTCCTGGCCAAGCCTTCCTGCCTGAATGTTTGTATGTCAATGGTTTTGAACTTCTACAGTGGAAGTTTTGAATACTTGTATAAGTGAAGAATAACTGACTGAAATGACAGGTGAAAAAAACCCCAGAGTGCTGATGGGTCCTGGGCCAGGTAATACCAAGTGTTAGTGCTTTGTGACTTTGGTCCATGCTAATCAGTTGATTGTGTCTGGAAATATCTTTGTTCCACTTGAACCTCTCTAAATCAAGTTCCTGGAAACTCTGAACAGCTTTGAGCAGCTGTGGATCCACCCTGAAATTGTAAGTGGACATAGATTTGTTTTTAGTAGTGCTGGCAAATTGCCTGCAGTCCATTTGCTATAAATGAGAAGAGTAGATAGAGTTTAAGCACACAAGCAAAAAGCCATGCTCTTCCCAATGGCTGCTATATTTGGCTATTGCAGTGTTGCTTTTCTATTGATTAACTGCTGATTTGACTTTTTTGTCTAAATCTGTTGTGCTCCTCTGACACTGTGTTGCAGTTTTCTGCACTTAAGTTGGAAACCCAAATTGAAAATTATTCAAAAATATCTGGTATTTGTTGGCTATTGATATTTATTGAAGTAGCAAATTGTTTTATCTGTGGTTCTGTTTCTTGCAGAACCCTCTGTCTTGCCACTAAAAGGTCTTCCTAAAGATATTTTGTCAAAGAAATCCATTTAAATCCAGAAACTTAATGGTCTGGGGCAGAAATAACTTAAAAGAGCAGGAGTTCAGTTCTACAGAGACAGAGGATATGGGGAAAATCAAATAATCCTTCTTTCCTAGTTCTAGCACTGAAGTTCCAAAGCAGTGCTTGGAAATGGGCCTGGCATCACACAAGGAGCTCCTCTTATTTTACTTACCAAGAGAATTATCTTCCCTCTGTTATCTACTCTCTGGTTTGTCTAGATATCAGTAAAATTTGGTCTCAAAATGAGATTTTCAATGACAGTTTTCTGTCATTAAAAATAGATAAAGATAAATTTGTTTATCCCTTCTCTTTGTCACCCAGAAATAAGCTGCAAATTGTTTTGGGTTTGCACTTGTGCTGCCTGTAGAAGGCAACTTTTTCCAAGTGCAAGTAAAATATTGATCATCTTGTTTCCTTTTTTTCTTTCACCAGATTCCATTGTGATTGGATTTTGGGTTGGTCTTGCAGTTTTTGTCATCTTCATGTTTTTTGTCCTGACCCTGCTGACGAAGACAGGAGCACCACATCAAGAGTGAGTCTGAAGATGGGAATAACAAATCCAGCCTGCTGGATTTGTGGCACACCACGGCTCTTGCAGCCCCCAAACAAGCAGTGACAGTGCTGACATTGTACCATCTTGTTATATATAGTCTGTTCTTATGAAACAGTGCAGCCTGTCCTCATTTCAAGAAATCTTAGCATTTTCATTCTAAAAGGATGTTTTGGGTAGGCTGCCAAACAGGTGCCTTTAGATTACTGTTTTGTAAACAGGTGGGATGGTTCTAAGTAGGCTCAAGTTTTCATGGAGTGATACTGTGAATATCAACAGAGTAGATACAAATGAAATGCAGTGCAGATGTTGAATTAAGGAACATCTTAATCTGGCTGGTTTCTAAATGTTTGTGTGTTCAAGTCCAAAGACAGATTTGGGTAGTGTTTGCAAAATCTTCCCTTAACCCCTGAGACCTGAGTGTCTTTGTTTCTGCTGAGAAATTGCAATGAATGCTGAAGTAGAGACCAACTTAACATTTCTTTAAAGCCAGGGTCCCTTGAAAGTCCTGTTTTTTATTCTTTCTGGCTGATAAGTATGTGCACACCATGCCTTGCCTCAGTGGTTTATGTGCATTTGCACAGGATGCAGGCTGCCAGTGTCCCTTCCCCTGAGAAAGTTTGAACCCACATCTGCTCTCAGGCTCATGTGCCATAAAGTGGAAATAAAAAGCCTCTCTGGAGTGTGAGATTGCTTGCAGGCAGGTAGCAATGATGAGAAGCTGATTGTAAAAGGCAATTGCTGCTGCTTATCACTTCCTAAAGCAGCCTGTCCCTGCCTCCTGCAGCCCCTTTGCTATTTAATCACATGTAAACTGGCTCTCCATGGAACTGTGTAATAGCACATCTCAGAGACAGGCCACGTTAGAGATGGCTGATGTACATCCTGAGCCTCTTCTGTGCTCCTTAAGTTTGCTCCTGTGAGAAGAAAATAGAGTCAGAAGAATCCAGCTTACCAGAACTGTTGTGCTGGTATTTTTGCTTCCCCTACAGACTGTTATGAAGTAGCCAGACATTGCTCCCAAACAGATTTAAAATCCCTGTAATTGTTGGTGTGCTGCCTCCTTTTCACAAAGATCTTATTTATTAGCTGAGCATGAGTCTGGATCCCATGTGGATGATTTGAGAGGGGAAAAACTGATGAAGTCCAAAATACGTATATAGAGAGAATTTAAAACGGATATTTGCCAAAAATTTTTACACTTGTGAAAATCTACTTTCAGGTAGCAGAGGCCTGCTTGACATCTCCCACCTTTTTCTGCTTTTTCATCAATTTTCTCAGAGCAGTGTCCTAAAGAGTTGGTGAAATGTCCACCTTTGGTCATCTTCTACATCCAGATAATGTAACCAGAATTCAGTCTTGCCTTTCTTGAGACTTCCAGAAGTCCCTTCTGTTCTACACCTTATTATAATTTTTCTTCAGTTGCTGGAGCGAGGCCAGTTATTCCTTTCTGTATTTGTTATAAATCTCTTTGCAGCTTTGGGAGCTGTGTGCCTGAGTGCTTGCCATGCATGCTGAGTTGGCACCTTTAACAAATTTGAGCTTTTTTGACATTTGCTAATGAAATGCTCATGGTACTGAACATGGATCCTCTGGGAATACGCTAAGGGCAGTGAATACAGTTGGGTTCTCTTATTTTTGATATATGTGTATAAAAACTGGAGAACAGCTACCTGTAAAACCACTTGTTTTAGTTTGCCTGCATCTTCTATTTCCATGCCTGACTGGATTCTTCATGGCTTGGTGTTTCATTAGTGGGCTGCCTTGAGCCCTCCTTTAGAAATAGATGTTACCAGGATTCCCAGGTGCTGGGAGAAAGCCAGCTTGATTGATGGATGAAGTCTCTGCCTTCAGGAAGGCTATTTGGCTGTGCTTTAAAGTACCATTAATGTGAGAGATTAAGTGTGTCTGGGCTCAGATGGATGGATCCAAAGTAGAATACTCTGATTTTTTTTCCTATTAGTATATTTTTCTTGGCTCAACATAAAAGGCTGTGATAGGATGTACTTTACAAAATTACACAAGATGTTCAGAATTAGGTACATTCTCTGACCAGAATGGACAGGATATAGATGGGGACTGGCAGAAATATAATGAGGTATGGAAATTATATCTGTTGCATTTCTCTTTTGTTCATTTGCATATATAAGTATGTGTGGAACATTAGCTTGTGCAAATGAAAAAAAAAAAAATTTGGCAATATCTGAATTTCCAAAAAATGCTCACGTTCATCACTAGGAGAGGTAAAGCATGCCATGTTTGTTTCTGCATTTGAACATGTCCTTAAGAGCATATTTGTGCAACAAATGCAAGAGATCATGCAACCTATTTGTAGAAAATATTGGCTGGTGTAATCTTAAAGCAGTAAATGTTAGACAACCGATTTTTTTTTTTTAAGAAATCATTTGATCCCAGTTGACCTTGGATTTTTGGGGCTGCTTTTCTTGAGTGTTCTGAAAAGATACCTGCTGAGGAAATCTTGCAGATTGTAACAAGCAAGACTATGCAAGCTTCTAGTCTAGTTTTAAAAAAATGTAATAAAATTTTGCTCTGAAATTCAAAGATGGGGTTCGTGAATTTCAAAATCCAAAAATTTCACTGTATATTAGATCATGTGTTCCCTGCTCATGAACACAGTTTTATGCTTCATCATATGTCCTCAATATTCTGGGTCATTGTAAAATTTATTTGCATGTTCCATTAAGATTAGGTTGCTGTTGTGAGTCTTGTGTGCCCCTCTGCATGGTCAGCCTTTGCTCCTTCATACTTCACTGGATTACGAAGCACTTTCCACACCTGTGAAGCAATTCTGCTCTTGTAGTGGATGCATTTTAAACTTTCTTCTGCAGTCACTTCTTCCTGGGCTTACAGTGCTTGTCCTTCTTTCTGTGCTTATTTGCCACTTCTACTGCCTGTGCCACAACACTACCTAGAAACTCTTGGGACAGATTTGCCAAATTATATAGGAAACTTAAACTCAGAGTGGTGATTTTTACTGCTTTATAAATACATAAATGTCAGTTGTCAGTTCAGAATTATTCCAGTCTGTTGCCCCCTGCTGTGTATACAGTAGATTATTACTTGGTTACTGATCAGTCTTACATCAATTTAATGTTCTTCTTCTACCTGGTTCACTTTGAAATGCAGAGTGAGCCAATACAGTTTTGACAAACTAGAGAACTGCTTTGATTCCTAGGCTAGTGGAAGTGATTTTGTGAGGACAGAATTCCCCCATCATGTAATGGAAGTAAATTAGCTTTTGAGAAGCAGGGATCTTTAACTGTGCCTGAAAGACTAATGATAGGTATTCTGTGAAAATTTTAGTGGATGGATTTCTGAAGATGCCATCTGAGGCACTTATCTCCTACTGCAGGCTTGAGGAAATGAAATTACACTGAAAACTCTTCAGCGGTGGGTGGACCTTTAGGTGTCCAATTATCTGACTCCAGCTACAGAGTAGTCATTTGCTACATCTCCAGATGTAAACAGTTTGAATTATTAGTTCTTAACAAAATTCATATTCTCAGAACATGTTTCATTGCTCATTCTCTGAATACCTCTACTGCCTTCCAAATGCAAATAACTTGCATTTTGTGATGATAGCATGTAAATTCAGCCTGACAAAGAATGAATCTGTAGAACTGCTGTCTAGCTTGAGCTCTTCTCACCCCCAGCTGCAAATGGCTCTCGCACGAGTCCATGCAGATTGATGCTGGTTTGAGATACGATTTATAAAGAAAACTGCCAAAAAACATGTTAAACTATCCTTTCTGGGCTGCCTGGATTGCTAAGACTGCCAGTGTTTAAAGCAGTCTTTGGTTCCAACTCCTCTAATTTGGAAATCTGGATGTCATTGAAGTCAGTGGAAAAGATGGTTTGATGTCTGGACAAGCAAACACTCAATGCCCTCAGTAAGAGCAGTGCTGCCTGTGCCTCAGAAACATTTTGTCTAGCAAGGACTTTTCACAAACTGCTCTTATGAGCCATTTAAAACAATTGTTACTACTTGAAATCAAGAGTGTTTATAAACTCATTCAGTGAGGTGATTGTTACAGTATATTAATTACTAGAAGTGCCATTTAAGAGTGCTGGCATTAATTTATTCCCACGGAAAATTGTCATGACAAATGAAGACTTAAAATTGCTTCAGCAGAAAAGAATAAATAGTGCTGGCTTTAAAAGTCTGTGGTAGATAAACTGCAGGGTTTCCTTTTCTCCTGACCATAATGGTTGCTGAAATCAAACTTGTTGATAAGAACTCAAATAGTTATACTTTTGTGTTTAATGTATTTTTCTTGTTCCTCCATAGCAATGCAGAGCTTCCTGAAAAAAGATTTCACATGAACAGCTTTGTGGCAGATTTTGGAAGACCTTTGGAGTCTGAGAGGGTCTTTTCTCACCAAATGGCTGAAGAATCCCAGTCACTTTTCCATTTCTGCATTAATGAAGTGGACCATATGAACAAAGAAAAAGCGAGTCAGAAATGTCCAAGTCTGGAGAGTAATGCCCACTTCCAGGAGGTTCCCAAGAGCAGTGGAATGTTTGAGGAAGACCTACATTGTCTTACAAAATTTAACATCCCTAACTTTGTGAACACTGAGCAGAACTCTTCATTAGGTGAGGATGATCTCCTCATCTCAGAGCCACCAATCCTTTTATAAAGCAAGCTGGTTACGCAATCTTAACATTGGATCCTTGATTGAAAAATCCTTTACTTTAAGGTAAACATCCCCATTGATGTCCAGTTTGAAGCCTTTCTTGGCCTCCTGCTCTTTTGACAGAAGGTATTTCAGACCTGTGCTTTTTATTGTATGTAAGTACTGATAGAACTCTGTTTAGACAAGAAGTAAGACGCTGAATGCTTTATTCTGATGCCTTCTGTGGTCTAAAACTTCTGCCCAGTATTATTTTTGCTTTTTGCTTTTTTTTTTTTGTTTGTTTCTTGTACTGTTCTTCATTTTTAAATGACTACTTACGACCAGCTTCTGAAGGATAACAATTTACAAGAATAGTGAAGGCTGGAGCCTGGCAGTGGGAAGTCTGTGAAAATTCATTGGCCAAGAAAAGTGTAAATCTCAAAGAAGACTGAAAAAAGGAATAAACAGCCCCTGGGGATGTTCTGTAGTTTCTGCTGCTCCCAATAAGGATGCCTGGAGCTGAGCACCACAATAAATACCTGCTTGGGACTAACTTCAATTTCTGATCCCTAACTGCTTTTTGGTGCAGGTTAAACCCAATTTACAAAGCTTCCAGAGGAAATACCTTGCAAATTAAATTGTTCAGTTACAGTGTTTACAAAATGCTATCACCACCTGCTGCTGAGCAAAAACAAATTGGTGCCTGTAATTATACTTCAGAATGACACCTCAGCAGCTGCCCACGATGACGTGGAATTAGTATTCTACACACACACACAGTGATTTGACTCTTTCTTTTTTTTTTTCCCTGCTAATTGCTGATGTGAACTTCCAGTTTGGTAATTACAGGATTCAGTAGCTAAATCACAGGAAATAATAAAACCCCTATTTTTCTTCTGCCAATAAAGTTACTACATGAAAATAGTGGTGGTATATTAAGCTGGTGTCATATGTTGCTAATAGGCTGAGCCTTCCTGTGCTTTTGCCTTTACAAAAGGTCATTTCTTTACTCATTGGCAAGTGAAGTGCTTGCAGGCTTTGAGCTGAGAGGACCAACTCCAAAAGTATAGCTAAGCTGTCCTTGCTTCATCTTCTTTTGTCCTCAAGTGCAAGAGTGTTGCAACCCCAGCTGTTCTCCAGTGAAAGATTTGGTAAGGATTTGAGTAGGTACAGTTTCAATCTTTATTTTTTAGGGATGGAATTAAGTTCTGAACCTTTGAGAATACTTAAAATTGTATTTCAGCTTTCTTCAAAACTAATGACTGAATGGTTTTAGAGCAAGCATGTAAGATGCAGAGGTATCAGGTTCAAACCCTTTGCTGGATTTCAAGTATGCTCTACACGAAGTTCTTAATTGAGATGAAAAGAGTGGATTCCAGACATGCCTAACTGGATTTTCTTGAAAGTAACATGCTTTGTATCCAACATATCTGTGTTCCAGGTTAGAGAGCTGCTGATACATTCTTCAGCCACTAAAATGCTGATTAATTAACCCCTTCTTCACCTTACAAATAGGAAAAAGAATGAATGGGTTGAGCATTTAAAGAATACAAATTGTGTAGGAAGAGTGCAAGGAAACATCTTTTGTTTTTGTGTCCTGTGCCCTTATTACACACCACTTACAGCTCAATTTCCTGTTTTCAAAGGTGTTTTTTGCAGGACTTGCTAGCGTTTAAAGCAACAGGATTACACTTAAAGCAGAGACTCTTTAAAACTAGCAGGTTATTGCTGGAAATAGTTCCCAAAGACTGAAATGAACCCTGTTCTGAATGAGCACAGCTCCATGACCTGCAGTGCACAGCTCCAGTAAAATGTTTCTGGTGCCTTCTTTCACACAAAGTACATAACTACAACTATGAAGGCTGTAGGTGTGGACTTTGCTTTTACTAAATTTGGGAAATCTGTCTCTGAATATGGCATCTACTTCCTGCTGAGGCACCTCAGTACTATTAGTTATCTGATGGTTAAAGTTTGAAGCTCAATATCGTTCTTGCTAACACATTGTGGGACTTGCACTAAATGAGGCTTTTATATCTGATTTCTGGATGAGTGAGCTGCCTTCAGTAATGTTTGAGCTTTTATTTTACTTTTTCCCTTCTTGTGCTTGAAAACAGCAGTGCTGCTTGAAGGAAGGGCAAATCTATGTGGAATCCATCTCCTTTCCAACTGAGAAGTGAAGAGTATTTTTAAGCCATTTAAAACTACATTTTATAGATAATTTCGCTTGGAAAAAGACCTTTAAGATCATAAAGTCCAACCATTAACTCAGTACTGCCAATTCCCCAGCTAAATCATCTCACCCTGTGCCACACGGCTTTTTCAATCCTCTAGGGATGGTGACTCCACTGCTTCCCTGGGCCCTCTGTTCCACTGCTCCACAACCCCTTGGGGGCCAAAAATTCTCAGGAATTTCAAAATAATGCAGATGGGGTTTTAGAAAAAGAAGACACTGCTATTCCCTGTAGGCTAGCCTATGCTTTTCTTCTGCTACCTTAAATCTCAGTGGCTTTTCTTTGGGTACATAACTACTACTTTGGGGGAGAAAAAAGAAGCATTTTGTGTATGGATATGGGGAATAATGCCTAGATGAAAGGTACTTAATAAAATGACCCAGACATTATTCCATCTTAACTTGCAACACATTTGAACTGCATAGTTAATATCCTTCTGCAGCATGTATTAATCCTGTAAAGCTATTTAAGTGTTTGGGTTCTGCTTCTGTTCTTTCCTGATGACAGATCTACTTTTTTCATCTTATCTCCTTTCTATACTTGAAGTCTTCATGCTGCTTTTCTCAGAAAATTAACCTGTCAGTCCCCACTGTAGAGCTCTCACACCACTCCAGAGACACTGTGGCAGCAATGGTCTGAATCAGATTTTTGCTCTGCCTCAAAGCAGAGCCAAAGGCAAACACAAAAGTGTTCTGCAGTTTTCAAAAGCAGCTATTTTAAGGCTGTCCTTCCATTTCTTCCCTTTTAAATAATAATAGACATATTTTGCCTCAGGGGAAAGGGCAATATATAACCTGTTAAAAATAATCTTTTCTCAGAAAATCAACTCATTGATGCACTAGAAACAGAATAGAAAGTGTTCTAATCAGAGTTATCTTCAAAAGGAGTACTTGGAATTGAGTGGTGTTTGAAAATTGAATTTTTGTGAATTTTCTTAGTGCTTGGCCTCAAGCCTCTTCTCAAAACTCAGTATAAATGCATCACCTGCCACAGAATTAACTGCAGAGAGACATAGCTCCTCCAAGCCAGCTATATATGTTTGTTTGCCTAAACATGACTTGTATTCTGGAAGAACTTACTAGGTCAAGTTATTTATCCCAGTTTTCAAAGCTAAATACTTGAAAAATGCTCTTCTATATTAACAAGTTTTAGTTCTGTATCTTAAAAAGAAAAAAAAAAAGGCAAAACCTATATGTAAAATCAGTAAATGCCTGCTCATAGAGAAGAGAAAGAGAATGGTAACACTGTGATTATCTCCAGTGCAATCCAGAGCCATACAGTCTCTGAGACTGCAAGGTGAAGTCAACAGGATATATTTGTAATGAAAATAGTATTTATGCACCTGAGCCCTCGACCCTGAATACTGTAACACATTTTTTGCCACTTTTTAGCTTTGGATATTGACAGGTAGCAAGGACAGCAGAGAACGTTCTCCAATGAGAGCAAGAGAGGCCTGTGCTCTCTTATTTTTGGATGAGAGATATGCAGTTAGCTATATGAAAGGCTACTTTCAATTCAGAGATATCACTGGATTTCTGTTCAAGAGTCAGGGCAGCACTTGATACAGGACCCCCTCATTCCCTGCAGAAGTCTATTTGCACAGCTAGTGCTGGTATATTTGTCCTGTTTCCTTGTACTTTCCAGAACAGGTTAAATATGGGATAGAGGGGTAGACTTCAATATGTATTATGTGTTATCAAATAAAGACTTCATTCACAATAACCTATTTAAATTGTTACATGAACAAGTTTGACATGTATTTCATAGAACTTGAAATGGAACACACTGCTGCTGTCTCTGCCCCAAGTGCCGTGATGAAATCTGATCCTTTTCTGCACATCATGTTTTCCTCTCTTGAAGCAATCTAGGTCACTGAGTCACCTAGCCAGCTGTTCACATGATTTCTTAAAAGCTTCAAACACAACATTTCAAATTATTATACTCTAGCTGCTTTGCTGTAAACAGATGAAGTCCAGCTAAGCATTAGGCAATGATTTAAAGATACTACATTTAATTCTTTTAATCCATCCACAATGACTCCTGGAAATGCATGATGAAACAGGACGGCACAAGAAGAAAAATATACATGAGAAGTAGATAATTATATAACTCCTTGAAAAATCACACTGAAATCCTCAGAGAGTCAATAAGAACTTTAGAAGAGAACGTAAAACTTGCACCTTAGATCTCTAAAAGGACTGCAGCCACTGAAGCCCAGAGAGTGTCACTGTGCAGAGGGACCACTTCATGGTAAATGCCTAAAAACTGAAGACCATGCTTCAGTGAGTGTACAACTGCAAAAATACGTGTAAGAAAATGGAATAAACCATCTGATAGCTTACAGTAATGGTAAATAACATTGTCCCTGCTCAGTAAAACAGACTGAGAGAGAGAGAATTTCATTCCAGCTATGTAAGATACCAGCAATTGCTGAGAACTGACTGTAAGAACTGTAAAAAGTGTTTGAATGAACTGAATGAACATTAGGGCAACCCACCATACACATGAGTCTCCAGTAATTAGAAATGCTTCCTCTAGGACTCCTGTCCTAGGAACCTCCATCCAGGACTTGACCTCTCTGGGAACACAAGGCTTGCAGTAGTTGAAAAAACAGCTCTCACTTCAGGTCACACACTTTAATAGTGTTACACATGTAGCAAATTATACAGGAAATAAATCAGTTGAAATGATTCAATTTTTATCCTTTTCATTAGCAAAACAGACCCAAATCAAGAAAATGCATTATATTTACACACAGCTGATATTTTATATACAAAGCTTTTTTATATTTAC